AACCATAAAGTCAGCCATTGATGAAGAAAGAGCCTTGATTTTTCTTTCCAATTCGAATGAAGCTTTGGATAGTTTTGAAAAGATGCTCAGGGATTTTATTGAGACGTCAGGCTTTATCATTGATGAACGCTGCTAAGTATTCATGGCAGGTTCATCTGGCTTCAGTTTAGGCAAAGATAAACTTCAGTTGTTTAAGAGAACGGACAATGGATTATGTGGTTTCGAACATGAAACGACATGATTCAACCGCTGGAGGATGCCAAGTCTCTCTGTGTTGTGGTTGGCGTCATTTTGCGTTGATGGTCGCACGCTCATTTAATGAAATCTAGATCTGTTATAATGACTCCGATCCACTGAGTCGATTCCAAGAGTCAATTCTAATTTTCTCAACTCTTTAAAAGTGAAGGCAGGGTGCGAACTACGGGGGAGCTCGGCTCCCCTTAATAAGACATGGGCTCCCCTGAAAACGTGATTTGTGAAATTTTGGGGGGTCTCAAAAAATATTGACAATGTGTTATTTTGACGTGCATTTTCAGTTTTGTGTAATGTGATCATCGTGGATTATTATGTGTAAAATTGCAAAAATATTCATTCATGCATGACGGCGATTTAAACCTAATTCACTTCAATAAAGATAACTATACATGCTATTCTTGTCATGAGCATCAAGGTGTGGGGGCGCTGCGGTGCAAATTCCACTCATGTTTAGTACATGTTAACTCAAAGATTCGTAGAAAAAATATAAACGCTGGACTCTGTGGTCGATTCTGTGTTAAGGTAAGGCATGTTATTCGCAATTATGTGTTGTGGCTGGGTTGTTATAGGTCTAGATTATACTTTTATTTACATTATACTTTGCACCACTATAAAATGTGAAAAAAGGCTAGTCGCCACCTACTGGTGTATTGATGTACAGAAAGCGTTCCCAACTGAATCTTTTTGTTGAACTAAATAAAATTATTCGAGTCAATGAAGCAAAATCCCTTTTACTACTGTAGCTCTCTCTATTATTTTTCGCAAATCTAAGTATGTTTAAGGCTCTGCATACATTATATGTTTATTTGCAGATTCTGTCACATAATACCAGATGTGTGGTTTATAGCTGAAGACAGTATGTGCTATTTTACATTTTAAATGTACATTTACAACATTTAGAACAAAAAGCTGGTGCAAACATGTTGCTTGTTTGTTTTACATTTAATAATATATTTAATAGTATTTTTACATGCTTAAAATGACCTAAAGAATCTACTTAAAACTGAATCAATAACTTATGTTGTACCAGTATAGTATTACATAAATCTCTATACGCAAATGAAAATACAAAAATCATAATCTGCCATTGAAATAAAATGCAAAGATGTCAAATCACAGGCAGGTGGTTTATTGTGATCCATATCCATGTAAATATGCAGGTGAGTATGATTGGTATGTTTTCACTGCAACCAGTGGAGGGCAGAACAAGATCTCAATGAATGCATCTGTGCTAAACCGGCTGGACAACCTAGAGGCTGAGCCACACCATTGGCTAATATGTGGAATGCAAACAGACGATGTAGACTTTCCTGGTCACATCCTGATCAGGATGATGTGAAGTTTTTTGTCTGAGCTCAATGCAATAACTATAGGCCTATTGTTTGATTTAAGAAGCTGGAAATGTTTTTTGGTTCCTTATAAAGGTTTTCTAGTTTGATTTATTAACAAAAATGAAAGATGAATTTTCATTTCTTTAATTTTTCATTTTATTGCATGATTATTTAGCAACTCATTATCATTGTGGCTAATATGTGGAATGCAAACAGATGATGTAGACTTTCCTGGTCACATCCTGATCAGGATGATGTGGAAGTGGGTTGGGTGTAGTTTTACTACACCCAAGTTTTTTGTCTGAGCTCAATGCAATAACTATAGGCCTATTGTTTGATTTAAGAAGCTGGAAATGTTTTTTGGTTCCTTATAAAGGTTTTCTAGTTTGATTTATTAACAAAAATGAAAGATGAATTTTCATTTCTTTAATTTTTCATTTTATTGCATGATTATTTAGCAACTCATTATCATTGTAAGAGTTGTTCAATTGGGAACAAAGTTCAAGCCATAGTCAACCTACTTGCATAATCGGTGACAATAAATATTTGTGAACTCCACCAAGATGCAACTCATAATGGCTGTTCCACAAATAAATATTTTAGAATGTTTATTTTATCCCCCAAAAATCAAGAAATTGGAGTGTTATCAAAAGGAACTACAGATCATAAATTAAAAAAAAAAGTCCATTCAAGAACAAAAATTCAGTATAGCTGAAAGTCTTGTATATGTGTGTGCTTTAAATGAAAGCTCCAGGATTTTGCCGGTGATCTTTCTGATTCCTGTATCTATGTGCTAACCAGACACCCAGAATCTGAAACAGGATATATAACAAAATTAATATAAAAATGAATTTATTAACATCTCAACTTGACAGAAAACTAAGAAACAAGCACCAAACCTTAAATAAACTGACTGAACTGTTAACGGCTTGATTAAATATTTCCATGTTTCATTTTACCTGTTTTCATAAACAAATGATGTCCAGTGTTTGCTCACCTCTGTAAAACTGAAAAACAGACTGACTCCTCCAACAAACTGTAAAGCGTCGTCAGCATAGGCCTGGATTATAACTGAACATGGTCGACATGTTTGATCCTTGAAACAGGTCTGATGTCAAAGAGAAGACAGAAATAAAGCAAAAAAATAATCTTTACAACCACAATAAAACTGTATGTTAGTTCATTGCATATAAACCAGATGATCTCATACTCAGGTGATCATCTCAGACTATTTGCTCAAGAGGTTAAAGAGTCTGACAGTTATCATCGTAGAAGTATGTTTCATTTTGTCCACAGTGAGTAACTTAATTATGAACTATAAATAAAATGGAAGCCTTATAATAAATGAACCTAACATCTTGGTGTACAAAAATAAAATATTTACCAAAGCTCACTATATAAACACATTCACCAACTATTTTTCTAGAAGCATAATGTTTTTCACATTAAGTTCAAGTAGCAGAAGACACTTCGTAATTCATTAATCTTGGATTGAAAAGCAGAATAATAGTTCTTACAGCGACACAGCTCTCATTGTAGTTAACTTCAAGGAAGTCACAGCAATCCAGCGATCTTTCCAAATCCTCCTGCATTGATTCAGACTTATTCCATCCTATCTCCAGGAGCAGGTTCTGAAGGAGAACAAAACATTCGAATTTCAAAACCCAGGAATGAGGAAACCAGTATCACCGTGTCAAAGTATTACAAACTATAATTACCTGCTGTTCTTTATTAATCGCCAAGCAGGCACATGATACTGAAAACTGCACCATGAATACCATGAAGAGAATGAGCATGTACTAAAGACCAGTTAAGGTTGTTTCACCATCATTTTGGAAAAAATTCAAAAGCTGTTGATAACAAAGGAAATCCTTTCAAACACGAAAGCCAGCAAAACTGGTAAATGCATGTTTAGGGCCCAAACTACAAACTAAGACTGTTTGACTGTGTTGAACAGAGATAAACCTCATATAGACACGTTATTGATAAGGAGAGAATTTCTTGAATGAGTAACTCGGAAGGATACGAAGAACAAGAGGACTTGATGATGCTTCACAGCTCCACACAATCCCACAATGGCCACGACGAAGAGAAACAATCCAACAGCAATGACAGCAGCCATCACCCTGAAACTAGAGACCAGTCCGAACCATTTGCCCCATGCTGCAACACCAATCATTAGAAGACTGACCATCTGAAAACAAGAAAAGATGGATGGTTTCACTTTAAGGAGTGTAGATGCTCAGAAAAGGCAATTATGTATATCAGTATAAAAAGACATTCTCATTAGTTTTTCCAATTTACAGCACAATTTAATGAACTTACATATTGTTATTGGCGTTGTTATGGTAATGAATAATAGGAATATATGTAAAACAAACTGTTAAACTTTTAAATAAAGACAAAACGTATTGTTCATGTGAATAACAACAAATCTTAAAGACTGTATGTATGTATGTAAATGTATGTAAACCGTTAAAACACTTACCACATAAATAAGGTTCAAGATACAAAGAGAAGTTTTGGAACAAACAAACCCACCACAAGCCATGATGAAATATCTAGTGTACACTTAAACCATAGTCCGCCAATATCCTCTATGTAGGACTTTCCGCTCTGAGGCAAGTCGTCTGGAGCTAGAAGTTGTCTAGGATTTGCTCAGGTAGACAAGTTTAACGCCATTGGTCCGTTCTTTATCTGTATGCAAATAAGCAAAGTCTCCATTTGTAGGCTACTGTTATTCCAAGGTGAAGCAATCATGGTAGGATGTCCGACTCATTCTGGCGAATCGGTTCTTTCGAACTGGTCGTTTGAAAGAACCTATTCAAAGGTAGTTACATTGTCAGTTGTTCACTCAAGAACCGGTTAAACCGACTCAGTGGACAAATTGTTCAGTCAAACGTGTGAATCATTTTGTTACAGGTTTCCAATTCTTGGATTCTGAACGATTCTTGTATAGTTTTAAATATACAAATAAGTCAGTTTTTTTGTCAAGTATGGTATAATATTTTTGTTACTTGTCATCTCATATGAACAATCCATGATTTTCAATCACTTTAAATGTGGGATTATTTAACACCTCTATCTTTCAATAATATCATTTTAATTTATCCAAACCCTAATTATAGTAAGATGCGTATGTATGAGACACGCTTACATAAATGTCTCTTATTTTGAAAAAATAAAATATATTGATATACAGAATGAAAGTGCTAGACTTCATGGGACTGAAACACCACCAAACAGATGGGGTACACAAATGGTTAAATATAATAAAATTGTTTTCACTACTCCCATACTTAGCACATTTACAAATTTAGTATTTTAAAGAGTTAATAGAGTTGTATATTACCATATATATATATTTAAAATAATCCTAAAACCACAACGGAAAGCGACACTTTATGTGATTACGCCCCTGTCTTTTGTTGCAGTTGGTTCAGTCCGTTTGCCGACGGTAACGTGTTAACCCGTCAGTGCCAGGGGAGCAGGCAGTTAGTTAGTGGATCAATCACAGCACAGCGGAGCTGTCATATCCATCACAGTCAACGTATATATTGTTTATTAAAACCAAAAAGCGCCACTTAGACTATTATAATGTCTGCACCAAAGAAAGGAGACCTGACCGACACGGAGAAGGAGCTACTTCAAGTTATTGCTGCAGGTAATGATAGTATGATGCTAACAGGCTAACTGCAGATTAACACATTTTATCAGGTACGACTTCGTTTACAAAATCTGCACGCCATGGTTACATAAATATACATAATCAATTCTCTGTTTGTTTTTTAAATGAATTCTTAATATGTTGCATGCAAAAACCTGCATATGTATTCAGTTAAAACTGTATATGACAGGTAACGGTATGCAATTATATGATAAATACATATACGTACCAGTAAAAGGTCGTTTAAAATGATTTAAGCATCAATATTTTTGTGTTGCTTAGTGTTGAATTCCTCAAAATACTATGATGATTGTTTAGCATTAAATATGCATTGAGACTCAGTCTAATGTGTTATTCTTTACATTAAGGTTGGTCAGTGTCTGATAACTGTGGTTGAACATTTATAGGTAATGTGCAAGAAGCCTCTAGACTGCTTGGATCCAAAGATGTCAGAGTAAACTGTCTGGATAAGGTAAGGAAATGAAGTGTCATTATGCATGTTAATAAAGAGGTTTAAATGTGGTTTAATTTATCACTCTGTTAGTGGTAGTTCTTTGTTCTTTTTAAACAATGCTTAGCTTCTGTATAGAAAACAGGCTGGGTAGAGTGACCGGTCCAAATCAGATGTCACTGGCACTTGTAGGCTTTCAAAGCAGCTGCCTGGAAATGATATTGATTGTCTTTCATTACGAGTCCTTCTGTTGGAACTGAAAAGAAACCAAATAAACTAATAAAAAATTATGAACCAGTTACTGGATAGCAAATAAACAGTTTAGAATATTTTTTCTTTCACTTGATTTAAGGAATTGTTCACCCAAAAGTCAAAGATTGCTGAAAATGTACTCACCCTCAGGCCATCCAAGACATAGATGAGTTTGATTCTTCATCTCAACAGATTTGGAGAAATGTACATCACTTGCTCACAATTCACAGATCCACTTCAGTGAATGGGTGCCGTCAGAATGAGAGTCCAAACAGATGATAAAAACATCACACAATAAAATATGAGTGTACTCTCTGCTTGAAATGCTGAAAGATGACTTTAAAGGAACAGAAAATTTGCTGAAAATTCATATTCACAGGTTAATGCTTTGAGTGCTTTTGGGAGTTGTCAGGGTCACCATCAGGTACCCATCGTTAATATTTAAAATATTATAAATGCTTTGCTGAATATTGCTTTTTTCCATTTCTTCTACAGTATGGCATGACCCCTCTCATGCACGCTGCGTATAAGGGCAAGGCAGACATGTGCAAACTGCTGCTGCAGCATGGAGCAAACGTCAACTGCAATGAACATGAACATGGATACACCGCACTCATGTTTGCAGGACTCTCAGGTCTGGATCACAGATGCTAAATGCTTTTGGTGTTTGTACTGTTAAATTTACAGTTTTTTTATGCTAGTAATATGAAAAGACAGTAAATCATGTCCACTCTTTTGTACAGGAAAGACAGATATCACCTGGATGATGTTGGATGCTGGAGCTGAGACGGATGCAGTGAACTCAGTCGGCAGAACGGCAGCACAAATGGCTGCTTTTGTAGGTATGACAAAGATATGGCCTTATGGGAAAAACAGTGTGCTTTACCGGTCAGTTCAAATGTATGGGGTTGGTAATTTGTAACTATTTTGAAACAAGGCTCTTATAAGGCTGCATTTATTTAACCAGAAATACAGTATTACAGTAATATTGTGGATTTTCTATTTGAATATATTTTAGTACAAAATTCATTCCTGCGATGATAAATCTGAATTTTCAGCAGCCATTACTCCAGCCTTAGTAATGTTGAACGGTTGTCCTGTTTAATATTTTTGTGGAAACCATAATAAATTTTTTTAGGATTCTTTGTTGAATACAAAGATAAAAAGAACAGTATTTATTTGAAATAGAAATCTTTTGTAACATTATAGAGTTACTGTCACTTAAGATCAATTTAATGCATCCTTGCTGACAAATCAAACTTTTGAACAGTAGTATGTCAGATTTTGAGAGAACGTAAGGTATTTTTATATAGTTTTTTTTTTTCAGGGCAGCATGACTGTGTGACGGTCATCAATAACTTCTTCTCCCGGGTGAGGTTGGATTACTACACAAAACCACAGGGGCTGGAAAAGGAACCAAAACTCCCTCCTAAACGTGCTGGTCCGCTACACAAAATTATAATGAGTACCAACCTCAACCCTGTAAAGGTACTTTTTTTTGTCTGAACCATATCCACACACACATGTATATATGGGCACCACATATAGCGCAGCTACGCCTCGGGTGACCCTAGTTTGAGTCCTGACTCGTGATCCTTTCCCAGTCCTGTTCCCCTCTCCCATTGTTTTTTGTCTATCTCTACTGTCCTATCAAAATAAAAGTGGAAATGCTCATAAATACAATTTAAAAAGCTATATTTTTAAGCTAAAATACTGCAGTATAGTCTTTCTAAACCTGATGACTATAATATAAAAAATAATCAAACCATTATAAAATATTTAAAAAATCATCAAACTGTTAAGACTGGATGTTCTTTTAATTGGTTTGGCTGCAGATAGTGATGTTGGTGAAAGAAAACCCTCTGCTTATGGATGTGGAAGCACTTGAGAAGTGTCGGAAGGTCAGTTGCATTTGTTCTGCATTATGCTGCTAAGTGCACATTTCAGAGCTGAGTTGAGATTCATTACAGTAAACTTACAGTAATTGAATTGAAATCTCACCCAACTTTACCACAGTTAATAACTCTTTGTTTTCCAGGTTCTGGAGCTGATCTGTGAGAAGTGCATCAAACAGCAGGATATGAATGAGGTGTTGGCCATGAAGATGCACTACCTCAGCTGTGTGCTGCAGAAATGTGGCTCTTTCCTGAAAGAGCGGCAGGACAAACTTGATGGCTTAATCAAGAGGTGAAATATTATATATATATGCCACCTTGTTGGTATTTGGTGTCAGTAAGATTTTTTTATTCAGTAAGGATGCAGTAAACTGATTAAAAGTGACAAAGACATTTATGTTACAAAAGATTTCTGTATCAAATAAATGCTGTTTTGAAACTTTCTATTCATCAAAAAAAACAAAAAACGTTTCCACAAAAATATTAAGCAGCACAACTGTTTTCAACAATAATAAGAAATATTTTTTGAATAGACTAATTAGACTAATTTCTGAAGGATCATGTGACACTGAAGACTGGAGTAATGATGCTGAAAATTCAGTTTTGCATCACAGGAATAAATTATATTTTGAAGTATATTAAAATAGAAAACAGTTATTTTAAACTGTAGTTCTAAATTTTACAACATTACAGTTTTTCCTGTATTTTTGATCAAATTAATACAGTCTTGGTGAACATAAAAGTCTTCTTTCAAAAACGTTTAAAAAAATGTATATGTGTGATTAAAATAGCTGACATGATTTAAGCTCTCTCTTTCTCTTCCATAGCTGAGGCTGATCAAGCATTGGAGGAGACGACCGGCACTATGGAGGAGCTCTCTGTCCGTCAGAGTGAGACCACCAGCTCCTCAGATAACCAAACCCAAGATGTTAACTCGGAGACAGTCTCTGTTACTGCAGAATGAATCACAAAGAATCAATCATTTCAACCCAGCAACCACCACCATCATCTTCACTGAAGACTCATCTAAGACAAAAGAGAGCAGATCCAGAGGTTCTGAAGGTTTCTTCATAATTCTCATACCGGATCCTCTTCTGAAAGCACATAATGTAGGAGAAAACCACCAAAAGCATTTCCACACAAATGCACAGGGGGAAGGGTCTACAAGTGACAAAATGTAGATTTCTTTTTGTTTGATTGTTTTAAATAATCTTTTTACATTATGTTGGAAAAATATATGTGTTTATGTATGTGAAAATCATGTATTGAGAGTCTTATGTGTGATGCAGGTTTTGCTTTAGGACAGATATTATAATATATTGCTGCAAGACATTGACACCTACGCCTTAAAATATTTAGTTTGTTCTTATGGAAAAGGATCAAATTAATAGATGGCAGCAGCTTACGTGAATTTTCATAAATCTGTAGCATTTATCTGAATGCAACAGGTATTTTTGGAGATACCTGATATTGAAATACAGTAAAACGGTTTCACAAATCAAATAAATAGATTTTCTGTCCGCAAGTTACAAACTAATAGATCACATGTCAAATATTAGATAGCACTCACAGTACAAATATTTCAGAAAACACATTAGTCGTGACAATGTTTATTGAGTTTGAAATGACAACGAATGAGCTGTTTTTCATTGATTCAAACCACTTGGCCTTGTCAAATGTTCCATCGTGCGAACAAGAGTGAAGGCAGAGGTCTGGAAATCATCTAAGTTTGACAGTGAGTATACCAGACGCAGGTTTGCTCGAGTCATCTAGATGGTTCCACTGAGACGTGCTTGTACCGGTCCAGTTCATAATGGAGAACTGTATGATGGATTTGGGCACTGATGGGTTTTCTCGATCATCAGAATGACTGCTAGAGAAAACATACAAAGTCAGCTCCTGTGATGCATTTGCTGTAGTTTAAACATTAAAAATATTTGAAAAATACTCTACTTTGACATTGACTCTGTACACCTCTTTCTTGAGCCATGAGGACCTGTAACAATGAAACAATCCTTTAGATACATTTCATGAATCTTAAAATGCTGTAACTTGATATTTTAGTTAATAGTTTTCTGTTAGACTAGAGAACCTTAGCTTACCTACTGGTTTTGTGATGGAGTTGGTCCCTTTTCTTCCTGTAGGAGGCGGTAGTGCTCGTCTGCCAAAGGCGATAGTATCAAGCACCCTCTGTCTTTCTACACTGAACAGCTTAAATGCCTGTCTCCTTTCCTCCTGCTTCACTTCTGCCAATTATACAGTACCTCACTGCTTAAAAGTTTGGAATAATTAGGACTTTTTATGTTTTTAATGAAGTCCCTTATGCTTACCAAGACTACACAATAAAAACGGTAATATTCTGAAATGTTATTACAATTTAAAATAGCTGTTTTCTGTTTTAATATATTGTAAAATGTAATTTATTCCTGTGATGGTAAAGCTGAATTTTCAGCATCATTACTCCAGTCTCCAGTGTCACATGATCCTTTAGAAATCGTTCTAATATATTGATTTAAATCTTACCCCAAACATTTAACAAAATAGTAAGCAGCACAACTGTTTTCAACATAGATAATGATCCCAAATTAGTTTATCCAATCACATAATTAGCCAATGTGGTATTCGTTTTTACAGCATTTTGAAATCTTTGATCACTTTTGGTGAATTATTCTAATATTGGAAGTTCGTATGATTATGGATGCCAACCTTTTCTATCTAAAAACCTCACAGATGGCAAATGGTGCAGCACATATTGGCGATATTCGGGATCTTGTGTGAAGGGGTTCAGATATAAAGCTGAAAAAGAAGATGCATTTTTATCTAAAATGACTTTTTGCCAATACAAATACTGCAAAGAATCTTCAATCATTAGAATACTGATACTGTATATTTGTTTTTGTTTGTCGTACAAATGGTGTAAAAATGAGCTTTTAAAATCTCAACTGCTATTTTAATTTTTAAATCTCAAGGAATATTTATAGGCTACTTTACTAGGGAATGCAATGGTTGATGGACTTAATGAGAGATGGTGGTCTCAGGTTCTCACAGAGAGTGTGGAGCTCCTGCATGTTCTTCAGCTCTGACACGGTCTCCTCCAGACACTTCATCTGATTATTGAATAGGAGCAGCACTTGCAGACATGTCAGGTGTCTCAATGCCCCTGAGTGCAGACAGAAAAAAGGTTCGAACTTAGAAACTACAAAAATAAATAAATATAAAACATATTTATAGCACAAACTGACCTGAAATGGAGAGAATGCCATTGTTCTGTAGATAAAGTTCTGTCAAGCAGCAGTTAAATGAAGCTCTGGAAACCTCTTGGATCTGTAAAGTCACTCTTTTAAATCTTCGAAATTCAGTTTTTTTAATGGAAAGTGTATTGCAGCTTTGTAGTTTTTACTCATCTTAATGAACTGCTTCATAGTTTTAGTGTTAAACGTTATTTTAAGCTTTAAAAACTATAGTAATCACACATAAGAGACAGTAAAATTAAAATTTTAGTCAGTCTAACCTTGTTATTGTTAAGCCACACGCATCTCAGCATGGAGAACCTTGACAAATCAGGAATGTAAGTCAATCCTCTAAAAACAGATGGAAAACGAAAGGGGAATATACAAAAGAAAAGAAAATATTGTTCATAAATTAAACATTTTGTATTTTTTATGCATATTGTAAATTATAATACATTTCATAAATGTAGGTGTCAGGTCCAGTGTTGGGCAAGTTACTTCCAAAATGTAATACATTATATATTACTAGTTACTGTCTTTTGAAAGTAATTAGTTACATTACAATATTACTGTCTCTGAATTGTAATGCATTACACTACTTTTGAGTTACTTTTGAGTTACTTTCATCCAAAATATCCACATAAGTATTGTAAAATGCCAAAATGTAGTTTAATGCTGCTCATTCTACATCCAGTGGAGGGTAACGTGGTAGGTCTATATAGCATAAAATATATGAAATTATATTTAGATACCGGTATGTAGGTCTACATGAATGTTACGTTGTAGTTTAGGTTAAAAAACATAAGCACAAATCGCATTATTACATTCATAAATAACACTGGTAAATAATTACTTTTGTAATGCGTTACTCCCAACACTGGTCAGGTCCACATCTTATTATCTAAAAACTTTATGTATATATTATTTATATTTTTCTTCTAAACACCTTCTGATGAGATGAAGGTGGGTCACATCTGTGTCACGCTGAATCAGGCGCTTCGGCAAAGGGTCCTCATTTTCCTGTGGGGGGAAGACAAAAAGATAAGTGACGCTAAGTGAACAATGGTGGAAATGAACAGTGCAGTCCATAGAAATGTGCAGTCTACCTGTTTGTATATTTCCATGTCTGATTCTGAACTAGAGCCTGCTGGTCTGAACAAGACAAAGACAAGACGACACTCGCCGGTTGCTAGGAGACACACTTCACTCTTGTTTGATTGATGGCCAATCACTGCTGAGAATTCTTCTGATCGCGCACGCTGACAACGTCACGGGGACGGTAATGCACTGTTCTGTTGTGTTATCACGGTTGACATTTTCAAACTTTTTGAAAGTCTTCTTTTTTCTCGTCCATGAGAGGGCACACTTTTCCTTAAAATAGTGTTAGGCTTCCACCACGAGAAGTAAAAGTGTGTGGCAGGGTTGTTTGCGCTTGCATTGTTTACATTGATTTACGATACAACTAATTAGATTTTTACATGATATAGCATTTTACATATTCAGGTACTGGACATATCTTTACTAACTTGCTATTTTAAGGGCAAAAAGTATTTTATTATTATTATTATTACAAAATTTCCAAGACGATAACTGTCGTTGTCACTACAGTATGCCAAGTGATAAACGCAGTGAGGTCATGTGACTATCTATCTATCTATCTATCTATTATAGATCAGTTTTAAAAGGTTAGTGTGGATTGGAATAATGCCTGCTGTTTCACTTATCCGTAAATAGTAAGCGTTATACACACTTCAATAAGTAGTCATAGCTAGTATGTTTATCAATCAATCAATCAGTCAATCAATTAATCAATCAATCAGTCAAACTTGTCATCTTTGCCACAGTCGTTTTCGCCTCATTTTTAGTAAACAGATCGAATCAACTTGCCAGACAGATTGATTGTTGATTAACTGCTGCTTAAATGAGGAAATAATGTTTTCTTTGACACTTTTCGTAAGTAATTTTCACAATAAATATTTTGTGGGCAGATTATGCTTGCAACACCCTTTTAAAAAAGCATGGACAAAGTCTGCTTACATAAAGTGCTGAGTGTTTAACAGCACAAACACATCTCTAAGTGAATTAGGGGCTCTCAGGGAGTCCAGTACGCATTCATTTGACTCCAGATGTTGGAGCACCTCACAGGGTCGAGTGCTTCTCTGGGTGTGGTTTAGGGGAGAGATTGACTGCGCTTGTTTTATCATTCCGCTCACCTGAGCCTTTGCCAAAACTGGAGGCGGGAGCGTATATATACACTGTATATATATAACCCAAGACAGTGAGTGAGAATCATTCAGACTCAAGGAGCATCTCTCCACAGGCTGTGGGTTATTTCACATCAACATGTATATAAACGCGCCCGAATCGTGCAATTTCGTGTTTTTATTTTGCTTTTTAATAAGGAGTGGTCTGACTTTGAAGAACGATGCTACGGAGATTTTCTACTCTCATGTGGCCAGTCCCGTGCAGGATGCTCAGAGCAACGCGTCTCTGAATCGCGCGCGCTCCGGTGGAAGAGGCTTCACAGCGCACGAGAGAGGTGAGTTCATGCGCCCCACTTACGACACTAGATTGCTTATTAATCATATATTGCAGTCTTTCTTCTTAAGAAATTGTGTTTAAAGCTACGTTTCATTTACAATTAACATTTAAAATAAAATGTTTTATTGGCATTCCCAATATAAAGTGAGAATTTTGTTTGGTTTGAATTTCTTCACACGTCTTCGCTTGATAGATGTAATATCAATTACGCTGAACAAATGGTAAGATCTATTTTCTAATTTAAGTCGTTGTGTTTAAAGCTACGTTTCATTTACAATTAACATTTAAAATAAAATGTTTTATTGACATTCCCAATATAAAGTGAGAATTTTGTTTGGTTTGAATTTCTTCACACGTCTTCGCTTGATAGATGTAATATCAATTACGCTGAACAAATGGTAAGATCTATTTTCTAATTTAAGTCAAAAGTATTATTTAACCTCACTGAATCAACCGAGATAGGCTACATTAATTTAAACAGACACAACAAACTTTTATGGGTTAAATTCAGCTCTTTGAGGGACAAATGGCAGGCTACTACTTTTTATATATATTTTTAGCAACCTGAAAATAGTTAAAAGTTATCTTATAACCAAATATTGGTTTCCATTATTTGTTTTTGATCAGGTGTAGTAAATGTTTTAATATTTACAGTATGTGCTCATTCATAAAATAGAAAGCAAACAGAACAGGTGATTTTATCCATATAGTGATTATGGTAGGGGAGACTGGGGCTAGTTATCACACTTTGTACTCTGGTGAATATTTATTTCAGAAGTTTGTCTCTAAAGGCCATTTTCTGTATAGACATATGTTGAAGACTTGGCCATCTTCCACTGTAATTGCCCAGGAAATAGATACAGGTCATTTAACACATGTTTATGTGTAATGGGGCATGTTGTCACAGTGAAACCCACCATTAAATAGACTATTATTGACTTTTCAGCAAACTTTAAGCAGTAATGAATCATGAAACACCATTTCAATTAACATTGAAATGTATTAATGATATGCAATTAATTGGATGTTCCAATCTTATAAGGAGAAAGTTAGCTATGCATGTTAGCTATGCATATGGAAATTATATGGTTTACACAGTCTCTTGGCTCACAACCACATCGAGCAGCAGAGATAAAAGAGTGCCAAGCACAATGTCCTCTGAGTGAATCTTGTCAGACCTGGAGAGTGGAGGTGCAGCTCAGCTTTTCAGGAAGTCTCCAGGGGGAACCGTGTTTGTTTTTGGAACGACCGTAACTTGAAGTGGGGAGAAAGAAAATGTCCCTCCAATCCCCATTCATCACGTTCTGTCATGGAGAGGGGGGCACATTGTAACTGAGGTTTGTTGCTGCTGTGTGAATGGATTTTGGCTTGGGTTACGCTGACAGGAGGCTCTTCTCTGAGGCAGAACAATACTGACAGTATAGCCAGCAGCACCGGCGAAATCTGAAAATAAGAGGCTCAGAGTCGTCATTCATCTGTACGCTAAACCATTTCCGCTCAGTTCAGATAAGGGCTTAAGTAAAGCAAACCAAGCATATCATCCATACCACTGTTGTTTATGTCTGCTCACCAACCGTGAAGAAACAGCACCAAGGTGAATCCTATCATAGATCTTAAAAGACTTGAGTTGATCTGATATTGATATGCAAATCTGGCTAAATGTTGTTTATCACTTTGTGTTACAGAACGAATCCCAGTCGGCTGCAGAGAGCTGCGATCCACAAAGTACATCTCTGATGGCCAGTGCACCAGCACAAACCCTGTTAAGGAACTGGTGTGCACAGGACAGTGTCTTCCAGCTCAGATGCTGCCCAACTGGATCGGCGGATATGGTAGGAAGTTCTGGAACCGCCGAAACAGTCAGGACTGGCGCTGCGTGAACGACAAGACCCGCACCCAGCGGATTCAGCTCCAGTGTCAGGATGGCAGCACCAGGACCTACAAGATCACAGTGGTGACCTCCTGCAAATGCAAAAGATACACGAGGCAGCATAACGAATCGGGGGTCAAGTCTGAGGGATACGCTCATACCCAGATAAAAAAGCAAAAGAACAAAGGGGGCACCAGGACGGAAAGCTAAATGAGTCTGTGCTCGGACTGAGCGAGATTTTTCCTTTTAAAAGAACTCAGTATGAACGAGAGAGCTTGTGACGTCAGCTCACAGGAGCACTGAACTTTCTTTGTGCTGCCTTTGAGAGCAAGTGCAGGGCTCTGAGTTCACTGTGAAACCAGATGTCCACTGCAGTCTTTGGAAAGAAGAGAAAATAAAGACTAAATATCATCACCAATATAATCTCAATCAACATGCAACCAGTAGTGAAGACCTGTCCATAATAACGTCAAAGAGACTGACAATGACAACTGCATATTACATTACAAATATGGTTTTTGTCGTCACTGCCTGATGTGTGTGGTAATCACTTGCTGTGGTATATACTGTAAGTCTTTGTGTTCAGCGACAATAAGAGCAGTTCTCAAACCCGGGAAATGCATAGCTACATGTAAATTAAATGTCTGTACATATACATATGCAATTGTTTATGTAATTGATTGTTTTGCACGTATAAGCGTATAAGCTGATGTAATATATTTTGCCTTGACTTTGCTCTAACTTTGAAACATTTTTAGTTTGTGCAAGCATTATTCGGACAAGATATCGCACTATAGTGACAATGCTCATATTGGCTATTATGGTGTAAAAGCATTAAAATTAAAACATCTAAAAATGTCTGAGTATAATTTATATCTGCATGAGGTGACATTTTGAACTCCAAATGATGCCTATTAACTGAACTACAAGGTCCATTAAATCAATATATTAACATGCCTAATTTTTGTTTCATGCATAACAAACATGGTTTATATAAAATAAACTAAAGAACAGGTGAGGAAATTCTTTGTAAAAATAGTGAAAATTATTATCGAACTAAGATTATCATTAATAATAATTAAAAATAAAATTTTAAATGCCTCTTTCATGTGCAAACAGGCATATAAAGACAAGGTGGTGTTAACAGGCAATATTTAATAATTTACATTTTCACCAACTGTCAATCATCAGCTGTCATCACAGAAAGACTCTATGACAAGCCATTTAAAACTAGTTAACTTCTATTTTGAATTAGTAACCACATGCAAGTGTATTAGTAACTCATTTTACTATTGCTTATAGTTTATTTTTCAATAAAATGGAAATGACTATTAATCATGTACTATTTATTATTTAGTTTACTGTAACAATTTAAATAGTCAGTTTTCCAGTATTAATCGAATAAACCCTAGTATAATTAATTAATAGTAACATGATGTCTAATTTTAAAGTGAACTATGAAGTCATTCTGACACATAACAAAAAGTGACAAAATAAATGTACAATTAACAATTTTAGAGCTAGTAACTTGTTGTAATACTACTATTTAAAAAAATGCTTGTAACTAGGCATACTAGTAGCTAATGATTAGTAGATACTAGTTAAAGAACGTTAAAGAAATACATGTTAAAACGGCGTGCCATAATTCGGTAAAAGTTAGAAAATAAATCCTGAAAAAATATTTAAATGTATTTAAATATAAACTGTATAAAAAAATATACAGTTTATATTTCACATGTTGACCTGTTGTGCATGTATTTTGATACGGAATATCATTTTATAACACATTAAATTATGCTATACAATGAGATGAGATCCCAGCTGCTGCATTGTCTTGATGAGTGGATAACAGGCTCACTCTGAGGAACAGCGGGAAAGCTGCAACACTACTGCCGCGAAACATAGCTCAATTCACCCGCCGAATGGCGATGCAGAAAGTCTGTTAACAGCTTCTTCCCATGAACACGGCTGCCACAAGCGAGGAGTTTATTAGGACGCTGCAGAAATGCAGCAGGAGCGCTGTTCTTCCTCCGACAGGCCTCTGGATCCCGGCTGTCTGCTGGAACGCGACGCCGAGCGGAGCGCGGACCGGCTCGGTTGCGCGGCGGTGGATTTCCCGGTAGCTGTAGTTCTTCCCGCCGGTGGCTCTGGGGAAAGAATGGGACTGGCCACACCGAAACAATTCTGCACCATTCTCAACAGACCTCTGATAAGCTTCACGATTCAAGCGTTTGAGAGGTGAGACTTGATATTCCGTGTTAGAGAGCACATGAAACTGATTTTATTAACCTGCATACTTGACACGTAAGTTTGTTATTTGCAGACGAAAACAGAACAACAATAATTCATTACGCCTGTCACAATTACGTCCGTTAGTTTGACAACTGGACTTTTTTCCTCCCAAGTAAACAGGCAGAAGTCCAAGGACACCTACTGCGTGTAGATCTTGTCCAGAACAGCTTTTTCAATCCTTATTAAGAACATCTGCAGATGCTGCAAGACTTGGGAAAGGCTAAAAGCACTTGACATTGACTTGGCATATTTAATAAATTGCACTGTGAAGTAAAAGGTTGATGTGAGTTTCATATTCAAAAAGCTGTCACTTCAATTTTCAGGGACAAAAGCATAAACTTAGAGCTGTTGTAATAAATTTTTGGAATATTACATTTCAGTGTCCAGACTATTTGACAGATGTGGCCTAAATTAGCATACCTGAGATATTAAATTACACTTCTCTCTGTGTTCTAATATATGTACATCCATACACTCTAGTATGCAGAAAACAGCATATCAGAAGAATAGGATGTAAGTAAACAGTACTGTACACCGATGGCCTACTGTCTTATTTTGTTTTTCATTGTCGTAATATGTATGTTAATGTATTCCTACATAGTTCTTTCATGGTTGAGAACTTAATTAAATTAAGTACACAGATTGCATTGAAAATCACATACCGTGATAACTGAGTAGGTACTTCTATTAAATAAGTACATACTTTATGTATGTTCTATATATTATGAATGTGTGTATAATGTTATGTAATGTTATTGGCATAAGTACATCTGGATACTTTTTGCTTACTGTTTTATGAATACTATGAATTTAGAGACTACTACTCTTGAAGGGTACAACTGATGGACACTTCGCTCCCATGATTCTTTGCACACGTTTAATTTGTTAAACCTTAATTGGCTTGGCAAGATGACGCAGATGTGCGTTCCAAGGAACAGTTTTATGGTCCCTTACACCAGGGGTTCTCAACTCTGGCCCTCAAGACCCATTTTTCTGCTGAGTTTAGCTCCAACCTTTAGCTGTGTTTAATTAGGTTTGGAGCTAAACTCTGCAGGAAAGTGGATCTCGTAGTTGAGAACCCCTGCCCTCTGGAAAGAATAGGGATGAGTATGAGAATAAATATAATTAAAAAAAACACCCAGAACACCCAAGCGAATGTATAACTAACAATGCGCTCAAATGCTTAAAACATCTTACAAGCTGCTTAACAACACACTGACAACCAACAACAACATCCTAGGCTAGGATTCCTAGCATTGTGGAGGGTTTACAAAGGGTCATATGGAAATTTAGCTGTTTTTGTAATTTTTTTTGATGACACAAGGCACTTACAGCCAGTGTTATTATCATTAAGTAAAACTATTATTATTTATTTCTTTTTTGTTAATGGAAAGACAGCAGAAATAAAATTTCTAATGTGTAAGGAAAAACTTTAAATGAGAAATATTGCCTTGGCAGCTACCTGACATTACTAAATAGAAATAAAAACTAAAACTTGAACTATAACTAAAACAAAAACAGATGAAAATAAATGAAACCTAAATACACACGCTGGTTTGTGTCAAAATGCTCGTCTTTACAAGTATCCTCGTAAACACAATAATTTAGGTCTTAAGTGAAAGCAAACAGTTGAGAAAGAAAACATGTGTAGCAGTATATTGGATCCGGGCAGCTCTTAAAGTGACAGCAGTCTTAAGATTCCTGCTGTCTGTCGTTTATGTTAATCAAACAACAAAAGACAGAACATCTCTCACTGCTCTTGAATAAATCACTTTTGTAACTTTAATAAGAAGAAATATATATGTAATTTACACAGTGAGGAATATGCAGTTTTATATGTATATTTGATTACTTTATACAATATATGTAGCATTTCTTATTTATTTGTTCTACTGTAGTTTGACACTGGTGACAAGAATTTGAAATTTCTATGGCATCAAAAATTAGACCTTAATTTAGACCTTATTTAAAGCAAAAATAACTGTATCGTGATATATATCATTACCGTGAAATAAAATCATTCATATCGCAATATTAGATTTTGGTCATACCACCCACCCCTACCTAAATGGAAGTATTTGGAAAAATCAAAAACTAGAAAAAAAGCACATAACGAAATTAATAAAAATTTAAATGATGTTGATTTAAAATATGAACAAAAACTATATTAATATGTAAGTAATACTAAAATAACTGCTTAAAGCAGTATAACATACAATTTGTTCCCTTACTCTATTGTCACAGCGATTATGTTGTTTCTTTTGATAGTATTTAAAACTTGTTTGTCTGCATTTTCTCGACAGATTATCATGGATTGGAACTGTTGTCGTTGTGGTTGCTAAGGAGAATCATGACTTGATGCTGAATATTGTCCAGAAATTTAATCACACAAAGGCAAAAGTAGTCCACGGGGGAACCACCAGACACAGGTCAATCTTCAGCGGACTTCAGGCCTTCAGCAGCACTACAGACTCACTGACGCCCAAACCAAAAGTGGTCATCATCCATGATGCTGTACGGCCCTTTGTGGAAGAAGATCTTTTGTTGAAAATCACCCTAGCAGCTAAAGAGCAAGGGGTTTGTTTTCTTTATCCAGATTTTGTTTCAAAATAGTGCATTTGTATGGCATTTAATAACAGTTTGGAGAAAAAAAGAAAGAAAACCCCTACTGTATGTTTATTTATGCCCAAGAGAAATAATATATTCTATAATATAAAAGCCCCAAAATTGAGGTAAATTATATACAAGTTAAGATTTAATTCAAATATACATTTTTTTTCTGTGGCTGTCATTTGGAATAATTCATTTTAAAACACTCCCTGAAATGTTTGTGGTGATGAATTTCCACACTATCTGAACACTCCCTCCCCTAATCTGCTGTACCACGGTCTACATATCTGTCAAATTTATGAGGTGAGTGAAAGTCAGACCACGTTAAGCCGTCGAAAGACAATTCCTGATGCAGGATTCAGAGATATGCGTGAAGTTGTTATATAATAAATATGGAAAAACCCCAGTCAGAGAAACTTTTAAATATATGCTACAGAACAAGAATCCGCTACATATGTCCCATCCTTCTAAGGCAAACGTCATGAAATCTGCATCAGGAACAGAATAACTCAGCAGAAGACGAGAAATCCAGCTTCGTTTGTGGTTTGACTGCATCGCGGGCTGTTCCAGTGTCCATAAATCACTAAGATAAACATATTGTTGACACCTCTCAGCACTACCCCTTACAGCATGAAACCGGATAAGATGTTTTAGCAATGTTTTTGCTGGCTTTGATGCGTGAGGTTGAAGATTTCTGCGATTTTCTTCTAAATCTCCTCTCCAAGGCTGTGACAAGGGCTGGAAAGCAAAACCCATATGTTTATGAAGCACTCAAAAGAATATGAGAAGGATAGTGATTCATTGCCTGACCCTAATGCACCATTGTTTAGTAATCATGAATAAATAGATTTTTTACAGGGCATGTTTTTACATTTTTAATTGTCCTATTGTCTACCTTGTTTTTTCAGGCCTCGGGAGCGATACGTCCTCTGGAGTCCACAGTCATTGCAACCACGTCAGAGGGCTACCTGGACCACTCGCTGGAGAGAGCAAAGTACAGAGCCAGTGAAATGCCGCAAGGATTTCTTTATGACATTATTTTCCAGGCCTACCAGCGGGTATGAGCAACCCAGACACATTTATTGGTTGGAACAAACCTCAGATTCAATGTGCAAAGTACATTAAAGTTGACTGTCACCTTGACATTCCCACAGTGACTTTTATGGTAATTTATGCATCTCAATATGTTTGTTTTTATATACACTTTTAAAAACAAACAAAAAAAATTTATATAGAAAAGTATTTATGAAATGTTTAATATTATTATTATTATTATTAGTTTTATGCACTGATGTTGCCTTTTTAACCTTTTTTTTATTTTTTATTTTTTTTTCGATTTTTCAATCTAAATGTTTTATATACATTTTTGTAAAATAATTTTTTTAAAATATATGTTTATATAAATTTTTATATATTTCATATTTTAATATTTATATTTGATTTATGTACATTTCCTATTTGAACCCAATTTTCGATGGGACTCTTCTATCTCTGTTTTTGTTGTATGCATTTTAATAAAATTAATATAAATATAAATATTTATGTAATATGTAGCCTATAATAATTATTTTTTTTGAACCCAGTAGCCTTTGTGACTCTTCCATCACATGTATTTATTTTTTTATGTAGTATCCAATGTGTTTGGAGCTTGGCGCTTATTACAAATATTACTTCACACTTGTGACAAAGAAACACTCAGTGTTCAAATCTTGGACCAACTTGCCTCTTTTGTTCATTGTTCCTGAGATTTGCATAAACCCACAGGTTCTTCTGCTCTAAGGCACTGTGACTTTTGTTATTATTCCCATGGTAGTTAGTTGTGTGTCAAAATAATAATCATAATTGTTTAGTCTGGCCTAGGTTACATAGCTGACTGCAAGATTGCAGTTTTATCGCAGTATTTCTTCTCAAGATCAACTCAAACAATGCTTTCACAGACATGCTGCTTTCTCATCCAGACTCATAACGTTTCTCATGGAGGTGGAGTGTAGTGTATTTCATTTGAAATTTCATCATCATCATTATCATCATCTTTGGATCTGATTAATCCTTTTGTCAAACTTTCGATAACAGTAACAGATAGAAGTGTTAAAAAGAAGCATTGAGATTTATAGGGCTGCTGAGAAGACCTTTTTTTTTTGGGTGCCGAATTTTTTGCTTCTGGAAAACTTTGATTTCACAGTCTTGTTGTTTTTGGCTGCGATATCGAACATTAGCGTGAGTTTTCTGTGTCAAGTCACAACTGTCTGTTCTCAATTAATTCTAAATAAAGATAAAACCATGCCATGAAGAAATACAGAGGATGAGGCAATCTGAAGAATGGGTAATATCAAGCCCGCTTGGGTGTTACCTGACACTCCGGCTCTTCTGGAGCTTTTCTTCTCCAACCCCAACAGTGAAGGGTCTGCGAAGATTTATATGCTTCTCCTTGCTTTTTGAACCCAATTTTCTATGAGACTGCCATCACGTGACATAAGGCAGTCCATACTTCTTTTTTTATGTAGCATTCAGCACGTTAGACGCTTTTTACAATGGGGGTTATTTCAGGTGGGTGTTTTGAGTGAGGGTTTTTGGATGTAGCCGACGGCCATGTGTCAAAACCCTCTCTGTGGTAGCCTCGAAATGACTGATGCCATTTCAGCATGCCATCCCATTGAATCTCGGAGAGCTTGAGCTTCACAAAAGAAGAGACATCCAACCCCGTAAGGGTCTAGCTGTGCATTGATGAAAAGGGGGGGGGGGATACGCCAAAGGTTAAATGATTGCAGGACTTTCTCCTTCAATTTGCCTTGAAATCACAGCACCATGTAAGCGAAGCTCTCCTCTCCAACCGGGATGAAATATTGCTGTAGATATTGCCCTCGTAACGTCTCGGGTGGCATGATTTAAGTTGTGTAATCCAACCGCTGTCTTAGAGCGATTCGCTTCAAGAACTCTATTCAGCTTTTTCAATGTGTTACCAGAATCAGGGACATTTCGTACAAAAATCCCATGCCCAGATGTGCTCTTTCATGACCACAAAAGTTAGTTCCTACACAGGTGTTTGACTGGAGGTTTCTATGGTTCTGATTTACGTCATCTGCATTTATCAAACTGGAGCTTCTTTTTTCATTTTGTTCTGGTTTTTGTCCTGGTTTCTCCTTTTTCAGTGCAGTGAATTTGACTTTGAGTTTGGCACCGAGTGCCTACACTTGGCCCTGCAGTACTGTGGCACGAATGCAAAGCTCATAGAAGGACCACCGACTCTGTGGAAAGTAAGGAACGAAGGGTTTGACTTTTTGTTGTCATACGTATAGGATTTATGCCATACATACTGGGTCCAACAGTCTGAGATCACTTTGAAAACTTTTTTTTTTAGCCATTTAAACCTGGAAAACATCTCTACATCTAGAATAGGTCACTAAGTCTGCTTCCACATTAATTCACATAAATTTGATGCATCTTTTCTCTACATTTTAACCTTCTGTCCACACTGAGACAGCCTTTTTGATCACGCGACTAGAGCTGTGAGATCCAGCAAGAAGCACACAGCGATGAACACAAATGTCAAGGTGATTTAGTTTAAAGCCAGATGCTACAGTACTGATGTTTTCAATAACACTGACAAACATGAGAAAACACGGTGCCATGAAGAATCCTGTTAGAAGGCTTTTCCATGAGTTTACCATGGATTTACTGTACTGCACCAAGGTATTGTGGCAGAAATATGGGATATGGAGTTTTATTATATTTATATAATGAAATATATATTAATTAGGGATATGCCGGTATCAAATTTTTATGTTGCAATTAATTGCTAATGTTTTTATCACGGTATGCTGTATTATCACGATATTGAAATTTAGTTTTTTTTTTAAAGTGCTGTCATAATACAGTATAACAGGTTTAATAACATTTTCATTACCGTGATATATGGCATTACCGAATACCGGCACAAGTCTAATATTAATGTAGACATGTACTAAAGGAGTACTGGTTGTTATTGAGCTAGAGCATTTGTGCATACTTTTATAATAAATGTATTTAGGCTACTGTTTTTCATACAAATACCATAGAAACCATTTAGTTACATTTTACCATGCTATGTGTGGTTTTACATTTGGTTACCATGATCTAATTGTGTGATACTGTGGTTATTTTTTTTATAAAAATAGAGTTCTAACTCAAAAATGTTAGAATATTTAAATTTTACCCTATAATATAAATATAAGGTTGTTACAGGTTGTACAGATATTACTGTTTTTGTTAATGAACAAAAATGTACATCTGCATCGTGCCATCAAAGTCAGGGAGCACAACCCTGTTTCATGATTTAAAACAATATCACCCATTAGAACATGAAGAAACGAAGAAATTAATTTCTATATTAAGATATTTTGTTAAGGAAAAAAGACTGAAAAAGGATTTTACTCATGCATATTTTGCAAATATTGTATCATTATAAATGTTTTGAATATTGTACCTCAGATTTGTGAAATGTTCACCTGTTTGGCAAGAAAACATTTTCATTTATCCTGGTTATACTGATAATCTGCTGTAATGAATAGGTTTGTATTGCATTAGCAAAACGAACAGCAGAAGTATATTTACTAGTGGTCTCAGACTTTTGGACCCCACTGTATGTGTATATATATATTGCAACAAACAGTAAATCACTCCTAACAGTGTGTACAACCACAAAACTAATGTTCAGTTATATTTGGCACATTTCTTTTAAGCACAAACTGTTGTTTCTCTTTTAATGTGATGTTTTCCTTTTGTAGGTAACATACAAGCGAGATCTAGCAGCTGCGGAGGCTATTATTAAAGGTATTGTATTTAAGTTGTGCAGAAAATAAATAAATATTTCACCAGCCACTGATTTGAGTCATTGCTGGGAATACAATATTGCCATTCACTGTTGTTATTGCAGACTTGATGTTGTTTGATTATACATTTTAACTGGGCAAGTCAAAATAGACAGTTTTCCACAGTCAGGATCATTGGGCAAAAACAAACTGTTAGTAACGTGTATGTAAATATACAAAGAGAGATTGCGAACCACAAAGGCTAACCGCCATTTCAAGATGTCTTTTTATACAAACAGGCTTTTTAAGAGAAATTATAGAAATGACCTATTATGACCTGTAAGGTATGAGCTGACCCAGCAAAGGGCCAGTTCTCTGGTTTGGACAGAAATCGAAGAATTGGATAAAATGTAATATTTTTCATAAATATGTGGTGGTTCAGTTGTATGTGTGCGTGATTTTAGCGAAGTTTCCATGCACTTATTTACTAAGATTATGACCTTTTCTATTCAGCCAGTGCACTAAGCTGCTGTTGGCTTGTAACCCAGTTCCAAAAGACCAACCTAAGTGGAATAAAACAACAGATTGCCTAAAAATGTTTTAAACTTGGAGTATTGGGTCTCCTACCTATTTCTGAGTTCTGTCTTTGCAATAAAGCATCCCTCTGGCTGTATTTAAAGTTTGCTTCGCCTAGTCCAATATATCCGTGCTTTTACCTTTAATGAAAGGTCAGGAAAAAGCCATTTATCCCTGAATTTAAATACAATGGTTGTTACTAAGACACTCTGATTAACTTTGATACCATTCGATATGAAAGAAGCTTATCCTGTTTTCTTGAGATAAAATGCTTGAAGTGGCAAATTGTATTTATTTTTTTCTTTATTACATAAAAACTATTTGATTTGAATTTACTTTACTTTCCAACACTCTTGGGGTAGCTTCTCCAAAACTGGTTTGCAAACAGGGTTAAATTACATTGACAAAGGTTACATCAAACATACTCTTGCACTTTATTATCTGTTTGGTCTTGAAGCATTATTTTCATTTTCTCTTCAGAGACTCTTTCAATGTCAGCATGTATCATCGCAGGAGCTGAAGCAGAAGCCGTTGAGTTGGCCAAAGCACTTCAGAAAAATCTGAACATGGTATGCTAAAGATGACATCCCTCGTCTTACGGTTTAGTTAAAATAGTCTTTGCTTAGGAATGTGTTGCATATGTAGATGTTTAAAGCTGTCTGTCTCCATCTCAACTCCTTTTACCCCAATTTCCTACTCACCCCGTCCAACAACCAAGCTTTCACCTGTCCTGCAACTGCATGAGGACTAACAGATGGTGAGAGCGATAACCAATGGATGTGCTTGTTGACATGGATAAGGTGTCTTGTACAAGTGTGACCACCTTCCCATTTATTCCACACTGATTTTTGGAGCCGGTCCAGCTGGAGACATGTCTTCACCTTGTAGTTCTCGCTGTAGGAGATCCATCTTCCAGCACACTGACAAAAAGGAAATATGACGTGTTTTATTCAGGCTCTGTGCTCTGGAAGCCCATCCTCTTTTGTAGCCGTTCCAAGTTCTTCATCAAGCACATGTCCTCCTCTTGATAATGTTGCAAACATGAGAGCACCCAGTGTCCCGTCTGATTGGTTCCAGACGTTGCCGCTCCCCCAGGTGCCAGCCGTGGTCAGTTCTACCGAGCCGTTCCTACGACTCGAGGGAGATGAAAGAAAAGGAGGAGATTAGAGATGAGGAATCAAATTTGTCCCAGTGCCATTTGTAAATCTAAGCCCCATTACAGTATCTCCATTACAGCAAAGTGAAACTCAAAGTTGGGACCATTCCAGGCATGCAGGTGGTGCGATTGGCTCTAGGTACGTGTTTTGGTAATAAAGGACAACAGAGAGTGATAAGATGATCCTTTTAGCGAGATGTAATAATTACATCCATGTATGCTACTGATAAGAACTGGAACGGGTTGCTGTCTACTTTCATCAAAGGCTCAAGTTCACTAGGGTCGAACACTTTTTTCTAGGACACAGAGGATTAAAGTCCGAATCCGTGCTCCATAAGGTGCGGATCTCGAACGTGGCAGTTCGTGTATGACTGAGAGTGATATTCGCATTCCTCAGCTGTGGGATTTCGAGATCATTTAGAACTGAGAGCATGTAGGTAGTGTGTATATAATTTTAAGCTACATAAGTAAATCTCACACAAAAGAAAATCCACATTAGATCCATCGGAGACTATAAAATTCCATTGACTGCATGTAATCCTGGCATTTCAGTGATACTGCATAACTCTTGACTGTAATGTATTCCTACGTCAACCTCGGATTAAGCCACAACATGAGCCGACATGATTCCTAACACGTAACTGTGGTTAAAATTGAGGCCCTTGCCCGGTAAAAGCACATTTCTGTTTTTGAATAGCTTACAAATCCCTAAGAATGATCAAAAAGATTGTTTGTTTGTAAATGTGTGGAAATGAAAGCATTACCAGAATTTTTGCGTGATCTGTAACGGCTAATGAGAACCAAGTGTGTGGCTTGTTTTTTGGTCATTATGAAGCACTTATTCTTGCTTCGCCACCATTTAAATAACCTGTGAACAGTATCTCGTGTGGGCTCAACAGCCCAACCTGGTTCAGATGTCGAAATGATCTCGTAAATCCACAGTTTGGAGCGAGCTGGTTTTCGTCTAAAGCCGCGGTTGGTTATCTTTCAAGAGCGAATAAGTCCTCGCATGTGTTTCCAATAGCAATTTCATATTTCCAGTTTTCTCGTCAAGGTCGAGTCTGTGCCAAACACTTCTGTTTATTTCTGTTTATTTCATCTCTGTACAAGATATTCGACAAGGCCAGGGACAGGATATGATTTGATATGAGGACTAAAATATGATTTCATATGCAGAGCATCTGTGGTTGTGTTGCTTTTTATGAAAAGGGATGAATCATTAGATCTTAATAAATAAAAGTTTTGTCTGCCGTGATGGTGAGATTGCTTGTTTTATTGAATTTGGGCTCTTTTCTCCTTTTCTCAGATGGAGACAGACGTCATTCCATGTGCAAAGGAAAGTCATACAGAGTACCTGTCCAAAACCCGAAACTTTATTCACATATCTGTACGTCAACTATACACACATACACACACACAAGTAATTCAGTGTTAAAGCCTACATAAATCAAATTTGACTTTTTAATGTGTTTTCCTGCTCTTACTGTGAATGACTTACCTGTGCATTTCATTTCAAAAAGAAATAACAGCTTGTCTTTGTAATATTTAATCAAAATAGGTCTTTGATCCCACTCTGAAATACCTTTACTTTGTTGCTGACATCAATAAGACAGTCTAGCCTGTTGGATAGTGTTAACTAATAGCCAAATAACTTTTTTGCAAACACACATTTGATCTGTATTCATTATGGATTCACAAACTACCATTTAAAAGTTTTGGGACTTTTAAAAGAAGTCTCTGATACTCACCAAGGCTGTTTTTATTTGAACAAAAATTCAGTAAAACCAGTAATATTCTGAAATATTATTATAATTTTAAAAAGCTGTTTTCTGTTTTAATATATTTTAAAATGTAATTTATTCCTGTAATGGCAAAGCTACATTTTCAGCAAGCATAGCTCCAATCTTCAGTGTTAAATGATCCATTAGAATAGATTGAAAACATTTGTGGAATGCCTATTTGAAAAGATTATTTGAAGAACAAACTTCAAAAGAACAGCATTTATTTGAAATAGAAATCTTCTGGCACATTATAAATGGTTTTTACTGTCACTTTTGATTTATTGAATTTGCTTCTATTTCTTTGTAAAAACATAATGTAAAACATTTCTAATAAATTTTCTATTTAGTTATCCATTTTTCTAAATGTTCTATTTAGTCTGGGTAAGTCTTATTATACTTATTTACAATAAGATTTACAACCATAATTTTTGCCCGCTTGCAAATTAGTTTGGTGTGACATTAATGTTGTTTGTGCCTTTGTTTTAGACGACTGCATCAAACTTCTTGGGGACCCTGGACATGGCGAAACGTTTTGACCACGCTCGTTTATACCCAGTAGTTGTTGTTTGGGTAAGATTCCATACATCCCATTGACTTTTCAGTGTTTAGTTTAAAAGATTTTTTAGTTTTAATGCAAGTGGAAAACTTTTTTATGAAGTACGCTCACTTAGGGACTTGTTTAGTCAGATTTTACCAGAAAAGATTTCAGAATTTTATTTTAAGTTAATTTAGAAAGTTAGTTTTAACTGCTGTATTTTTGTGTTTGCTTGATTTTATTTTGTTTTTATGTTCCTGGAAGTTATTTTATTTTAGGTTATTTTAACCTTAGGTTGTTGCTATAATACCAAACATATCATTCATTGTGTGAACACACAGAGAAGTGGTTTTTGATTGTGAGAGGCGAGAGTCTAACCTTAAACTCATTTTTTTCGTTTTCATCATTGTGACATAGAAACACACACAATGTGCATCAGATCGCAAAAGTGCTAAGACTTACTGACGTTGCGGTGTTAGCAGTTGGAAAAACCCTTGATGTTTTGTTTCCTGGTTCTTGTCCAGCATTTGTACCTCAGAACATCTTAGTCTTAATCTCTGGGAATGTCATCACTCTTACCTTGATTAATTTCTTAAATGTTTCGAAAGCATAAAATCTCTGCTCCTGCTGTTTTGATCTCTGAATCCAGGGATCCGCACCCCATTGTGGTAATCCAGCCTTCTCAGAATCCATATGTGCTTCCTTTAACATTCCCTCTGAAGGCCTGTTAGATAACCTCTACTCTCCATCATTATGTTTTCACTCGTTGTTTGGATTTCACAGATGCTTTGTTCTTATCATCACCACAGATGTGATGATAACACATGTGGCTGAGAGAGCGTGTGATTGCGAGTAAAACCTCAAGATGATTTTATAAAGAGCTGTTCAGAGGTTTGCTTGTCTTTCTTTATGCTTACATTACATTTGGATCCGCTTAACATTCTATAACATTTCCTGTTGGGCTTTCAGTTACCTTTTTTGTACTTGTAGAGATACTTTATGAAACTACAAAAAATCTATTAGAATCAGAATAAACAGCGTTTCCCCAATTTATACTGGGGTATGACCTCTGTTTGAAATATGTTTTTCTTCAAGCAGTTTGCAAAATGAGCACGGCCTGTTTTATTTGGTACGGATGCATACAAGCCACATCTTCCTGAAACGGTGATGTAAGCGAACGGAAAAAGAAATCACATTAATTTAACGGATCGGTGAATGCTGGGTCAGTTGCAGTGGAAACTTTTCGCTAAGAGCTGGTTCTTGCTGTTTTGCATGGGAGCTCAACCTGTCCAAACACACAGAGAGCGCTGAGTGTTTATTAAAAAGAGTACTGTGGGGTACTTTTAAAATTAATGGGCCTGTCCCACGGCTGTATTCACAGAATAGTTTTTTACAAGTAGGGAATATTTAATTGAAGTAAGTGCAGGTTATTATGGTATTATTAATTCCCATTTGGATTGAATGAGTCATTGTAGATGTTTAGATAAGTATTGTAATGTTTATTAATTCCTATTGATCAGAAATTTGCCATTTTTATTTTGGCAGCTGAACCCCTTTGACCTAAAGTATTTACTTAAATTCGTCTTGAGATTTTAAGTTAATATTTCAATAATTTAACAACGCATTCACATGTTCACGTTTGTCTGATGCCTGTTAATGATTACATGACATGCAAGTAAACAAAAAATGACATATTTTTAGTAAGTGTTTCGTTGTTTAAAAATTTATTTATTTATTCAATTTTAGATTTCAAATCAATATTTCAATAATTTAACAGCACATTTGCTTGTTCACATTTATCTAATATCAGTTAATGGTTACATGAGTTGCAGGTAAACAAAATATTTCATCTTTTTTAGTAAGTGTTTTATTTTTTAATAATTATTTCAGTTTAGATTTTAAGTTGCAGGTAAACAAAATACTGTATTTCATCAATTTAGTAAGTATTTATATATTTTCTTTACTTATTTAAGTTTAGATTTTCAGTTTATATTTCAGTAATTTAACAACAGTGGTTACATGAGATGCAGGTAAACAAAATATTTAATCTTTTTAGTAAGTGTTTTATTTTGTTTTATTTATATGTTGTAATTATTTATTTTTTAAATGTTATTTCAAATCAATATTTCAATAGCAATAGCAATTAACAATACATGTTCATGTTTATATTTCTTAAATATATCACTTAAAGGGGTCATATGATGCGATTTCAAGTTTTCCTTTCTCTTTGGAGTGTTACAAGCTGAGTGTGCATAGATAAGATCCCTGAAGTTGCAAAGACTAAAAACAAAAGAGTGTTCAAATGCGGAGTTTTGCGCATCGCGTGTGTGTGAGCGAGAGAGGGAGAGAGAGAGACAGGGTCACTCACAGTGGAGTCAGCTGTCTTAACCGTGGCTTGTGTACTGCAAACACATACCAGCTTCATCACTGTGTCTGTCACGCGACTCTGTTCCCCTTTCGGGCTCTGTCTTTACATTTATTTTGAAAGATGAAGCTCGCGATTATGGTAAGGGGCGTTACATTTCCAACGAGTGCTTGCGGTGTTCGGCCAATCACAATGCACTGGGTCAGCTGGCCAATCAGAGCAGACTGCGCTTGTCGGAAGGAGGGACTTTGTAGAAAACGAAGCGTTTGAGAGAGGCGGGGCATAGAGGACCTACAATAATGTACAGTATTTGAAAAATAATGTGTTTTTTGAACATTAAAGCATGTCAACATATTCGGTTACACCAAATACACCAAATAATGATCTTTAAAAAAGCATCATATGACCCCTTTAATGGTTACATGAGATGCAGATAAACAAGATATCATATTTTTTAGTAAATGTTTTTTTTTTTTAAATTAAGTTAATATTTTAATAATTTAACAACACATTGGCACATTTCTCTAATGTCAGTTACTGGTAACATGGAAGCCCGTTTCTGCCACTGAATAAAAAATACAAAAAGGTAATTATGACTTTTTTCTCGCAACTGCGAGTTTACATCTCGCAAATCTGACTTTTTTCTCAGAATTGTGAGATGTAAACTTGCAGTTGCAAAAGATTTAAACTTGCAATTGTGAGTTTATATCTCACCATTATGAGTTTTTTTTCTTTAAGTCAGAATTGTGAGATATAAACTCACAGTTCTGAGGACATACCAGTCTTTTTTCCCCCTCAGAATTGAACTTTATAACTTGCAATTGCGAGTTTATATCTCACAATTCTGAGAAAAAAGTCAGAATTGCAAGATAAACTCGGAATTGCAAGGGAAAAAAAGTCAGAATTGTGAGAAAAAAGTCAGAAGCTCAGACAGCAGAGGGAGTGACTGTAATATGTGTTCGTCGTGATAAAATGCTTATTTTTGTGAGATAGTGGAAGTGCAGATAAAGACCATGCATAAATCACGCTCATAGGTCCCGTAATAATGAGGATAATTCCTCCCAGATGCGCTTATTCATGCTTCACAAAATAGCTGCCAAGACTCGCTTTGTGAGTTCTGACCCGTCCAGCTACCTTCATACAGTATGTGATATAGGTTTTTTTAATTAGAGGTCATGCCTCCTAATTCGGTATTTTATCCAGATCGTTTTTGAGATGCAGTGAAACCGTCAGACGTTTTCTGCTGCTAGTCACGCCTGAGGGTTTTTGGATGACACAACGGTTAAATATATAGACTTTCCATGGCCTAATACTATACCGAATTTATTCCACTGGCATCATTCATGCAGTCAAAATCAGGTTTTGATGATCAACGCTGGGAAACTTTAAAAGGTTCATATCACAAGCAATTTAGATTTTCATTGATCTTTTAAGATGAAATAACTTGGTGCATTATGAAAAAATATTATAAATACTGATTTCTGCATAAATTGGCCATAAATTTAACAATAACTTCACCTAGGGTAAAGCACTGTTGCTCAGTTCACATATAAATTATGTTTCTTAAAGGCATGGTAGGAAAAATATAGTTAAATTCTAAAGGTTAAAAGAGAGTTTTACATTATAAATAGGCTGCAGGGTAGAATATTATTTTAAAATAGATAATATAAATAGGTTTCATTATAAAAATTGCCCAATGATGATGGCTATATTTGTAAAATGAATTGTAAAATAGATGCTTTTAGAGAATATTGTATTAAATAACTGTACTTTGACATGTATACCATCAGAAATGGTCATTTCTTTTGTCTGCACTAAAGAAGATACAGTTGAAGAGTAGTTAAATGGATAGTTCACCCAAAAATGAAAATTTAATGTTTATCTGTTTACCCCCAGGGCATCCAAGATGCAGGTGACTTTGTTTCTTCAGTAGAACACAAACGAAGATTTTTAACACAAACCGTTGCAGTCTGTCAGTCATATAATGGCAGTCAATGGGCTCCATGGCTTTGAGAGTAAAAAAAACATACACAGACAAAACCAAATTAAACCCTGCGGCTCGTGACGATACATTGAGGTCTTAAGACACAAAACGATCGGTCTGTGCAAGAAACGTTCACAACATCCAATGAGTGATGTATACTCACGAAAGATCGCTTCCACTCATGCATCTACTTTGCCAAAGCACGTACATGTGTCACGCGCCGGATGTTGTGAACGCGCTCAGGACAGTTGGACATTGCGGTGGATCAGAGGTAAAAAATGATATAAAAATACTGTTCAGTTTCTTGCACAGACCGATCGTTTTGCAACGGTTTGAGTTAAAAATCTTTGTTTGTGTTCTACTGAAGAAATAAAGTCACCTACATCTTGGATGCCCTGGGGGTAAGCAGATAAACATCAAATTTTCATTTTTGGGTGAACTATCCCTTTAAGTTGACATTTAAGAGTAGTTTAGTTAAGGGTAGTTTAAGTTGACATGTGGGCGATTTTGTCTCTGTAGTCTTCCAGGATTATTTGATTAGAATCTTTGGGTTTGTTTTTCCTAGCCAGATGTTTGTACATGTGGAGCACTTGACTTGTGGAGGGTTTGTTGTTTTGAGAACACTGGCAACTAATAAGGATTGGTAAACATCTTCTCATAAATACACATTCAGTCTTCATTAAAAA